CACTCATAGCAGCAACACTCCACTGTAGGGCTTGAACCCATTTAATCACTTTTGATGAAGATGGATCGACAGTGAAGCCAATAATAGCTAATGTATTAAGGTTGGATATGTACAGAGCACAGCATGTAGAGTATAGCCTGGTTATAGAGTACAGCGTATCCAAATATGAGTTACTTGAATAAAATTTGCTGGAAGTTTCAAGTTATATAAAGCTTACCAGGTTATACGTGGATGTGTTACAAACAATTTGAAATCTACAAGAAATTCTTTTTGACATGGATATGAGGCTCTGAACTGACAGTGGAATATTTGAATTATTGTTTTCATTTTTCGTTTCTTTGTCGTTTCCATAAATGAAGTTTCTTTGGTTGAAACCTTTGGTTCCGCTAAAAAATGTTTCGTTAATAATATATTCCTATACCTCGGATATATGAATACTATATGGAAGGGCCTGTGACAAGATCTAGTTCCAAAATTATACTCATAAGTACCCAGGTTGAAATTCCCGTTTTGGAGAATAAGAGCAAGGGTAGATTTGCACGTCAGAAGGTAGTTTCCACAAATTGAAAAGCCGGATAATATATCATCGTATATAAACATCAACATAAATAGCGGTTATCACGCTTGTGTGTTTGGGGATGGTAAATATCATATATTAGGAATAAACATTGTATTTAGCGAGCCTTGGCACGAGTCCTTGATTTGGATCCTTAATGCCGAGTACCAGGCGGGGTGACAACAAGTATTACTGTTTGGCGTCATTGGGTTTGCCACGGCCTCGGATTGAACGACAGACCTTCCTCTATCCACTCTACCACGAGGCCATGGCGGTGGTCACTGTTGGAATAAGGGTACGTCACAAATATACAATTTAAATAGCTCTGACATCATGTCATAAGTATTTTGACAATTATAACTTTGTCCAAGAACGTCTAAGTCTAATGTATCAGCTAGCCCATCTGTTACTGTGCGCATGTACATTTCTGATACCCTCTGACCCCCAAATTGCAACTCTGCGTTTCTGTCTATATCTAGCTCGCTGTATCTAACGGCGAGATTATCTGCTTCCTAACCAAGTACAAATCTAGCTGTAATCACGTATCCATGCTGAGTACTCCACTTAAACACATTTCATTATAACCTTTGATTAAATGTCACGTGATGGCGTGTCACTTTTCCATCACTTGGAATATTAGAGGTACTGATAGCTGTAAACAAATCGCTTTGGCATGTTGTACAGTAAACAGCTATCTCTAATCAGATAATGATACTTCTCGGTGACCATACTGGCATCTTGTTTATTTATCTACGTTCCATTTTTCAATGCCAAAAACAAATTAAAATCCGTTTAAAATGCAGTATGATGACAGGCAGTGGACGTGGACATATGTAAACAGGACATACAAAGGGAGGTAACTCTGACTGCCCTGTTTGACGCTGGGACTGTGGCTCGACTCAGAAGGTGCTGAAGAAAACATTAATATTCGCTTACATTCAGAACATTAATCCTAGTTCGACCTGTCCGCACATGTTAATGTTTTTACCTTTCTGTACAATTTGATTATCGTGTTTGCGCTCTAGGCTTTACAACTCGTGTTCTCATAACATTCTAAGAACATGTAAAGCATTTGTCTCTACGATAGTACTCTAGTCAAACTTGGAATGCAGACAATGCAGCGAGGAGATGTACATGTAATTTGAAATCAGTAACTTTATATGAAGCTGGATTTTGTTATACGTCTGTAATCATTCTGCGTTTGGTACTTAGGTGTACAAACATGAAAGCTCGCCAGAAAGGCGCCACGAGAATCATTATAATTATGCTATCGCCCTTTCAGGGTGTAATCAACAGCATTCTCTAAGTTCACTAATACACTCGTACTGAATTTAATGTTAATCTTTCAAATATAAATTAAGTATAATCTCTGATAATCATGAAATGAACTTATTTTTTAGGGTTAATGGTTATAACATTTTATTAAACTTTTTTTATAGCCGTCTACGTGTATAAAATCGTTTTAATCTTATCAGATTTTAAAGGGATGAAATTTAAATATACAGAGAATCTTATCCGAGTATGTTTAATATAAACGATATCAACACGTCTATGAAAGATTAAAACTCCGAGTTTGACCGAGGAGTTGTATGTTTTATCGACGAGTGCTGATATATTTAATATCAAAAGACCACAGGTGAGATTCTGTTTATAATCCAAAAGTTTCTTCGAATGTTTTTCAGATTGTAAGCATTTGTAGTCAGTGTCTTGAGTGTCAACAGTACAGCTAAAGCAGCTTCTTTTGTAGAGCGATTAGTGATGTAATTTGATTGTGACGTCACGGTCACCGAGGACGCCACGATGGTCCATCAACCTAGCGGTATCTCTCATGGAAGTCAGGTTTAGATGATAAGGATATTTATCATCCCAAACTGGCTCCCATAGGAGAGATATCGCTGGGGTGAGATCAAGCGATATCTACATTATTGGTTACCATAAAATCACAATCAAATGACATCACTAATGCTGCGTCTGAAGTTGTTTGCAGTAATATTTACACTTAAGACACTGCTTATTACTGTCTACAAACTGAAAAAGTTGGAAGAATGATGTTGGATGATAAATATAATCTCACCCTTGTGTCTTTTGATATCAAATATTAACACTCGTTGATATATTTGATATCAAAAGACACTTGGGTGAGATAATCTATTTATTGTATTTATTTCCGAAGTTGAGAAAAGTGACATTTTCATTGCAGTGAATAGAACAATTTATATTTCAATGCAATGAACAAAACACGATATATTTCACTGCTTTAAACATAAACACTTTGACGGAACTATTGACATACAAGAGTTACCTCCCCTCAAATTATCTCCCTTCATCGTAAGTGTCTGGCCCGAACACAAACTGTTGACTTCCTTTTCACGTTAGTTTACACTGACAAGGCAAAATAATGACAGATGGTCATTTACTGAGTTAATATTGCTTCATTCCGTTTGTTATTCTCTTGAAAATATCTTCTTTTCCCCGAGTCACTCGATGAGAGAAACATGCCATTTCACTCGACACATGAAATATCCTCAATATATCACTGAGGTCACATATCACCTGAACCCGAACGGTTACTTATTCCTGGTTGTGGAGTGTTTGTTACTATTTAACCTCGTTGTGCGGATAGTTGTCCTCGAACGGTGGATCTGTAGGTCGTGGCTTGGAATCTCAGTTTCACTGCGAATATGGTCCTTGGTTTGCCAGCACTAATAATGTGATTGGTTGTATCCGTGCAGAACCAGTCTCACCTTTGATTTTTCCACTTTGTCACACAACTATCCAACATGACAAAAACCTAAGGAAAAATGTCATTCCTTGATCCATGGGGCTTTTGTTACAAAACGTGGTGACCACATATACAGTTACTTATCTATATGCAGAGGTTCAGGACAATGTGTGAAAACTTAAAGCAAATGCCATCTGAAGTTAACTGAGAAAACAATATTTGAAATGCTGGACTTCCTCATTGATAACATCTTCATACATTTGGGGGTAAGACATTTAGGCAAGAAGGAGGCATCCCCATGGGCACCATTTGTGCTCCCCTTCTTTTGGATCTGTTTCTTTGTGGACATGAATCGGATCTTCTGCTCGGGTTGGCAAAGTCAAAACAAGGTAATCTGGCCAAGAAGTTTAACTTAAACTTCAGGTGTATCGATGATCTGATATCGTTCAATAACAAAAGTAGCCGTCCACTGATTTAGCCACCTGGACTAGAAATGAAGGAGACAAGTGCGACCGCCTCATATGTTTCATATTTAGATCTACGCATACAGATTCAGAGTGACAAACTACTCTCAAAACACTCTGTATGACAAGGACTTTCCCGTCCTGTCGAACAATATTCCAACAGCTCCAGCCTTTGGTGTTTACATTTCACAACTTTTGAGATACAATCGAGCATGATCTTTCTACCAAGATTTCAAAGAGCGTCATGCGACTGTTCCTCAGAAGTTGTTTGATCAAGGTTACATCTTTCAAGGCCTCAGTAAAGTTTTCAAAAAGTTTTGTGGTAGACATGTGGATGACATTTCGAAATTTGACGCATCAGTGACAAAAATGATGACCGATGCAATTCCTAATTTTGACTTGTACCATAATTCATTATGTTCCCGTGCTTTTTCAGGTGAACAATTGACTTGATCTTGCATGTGTTTGTGACGGGTGCCACCGGTGGGGCAGGATACGCTCACCTTTTCGCGAACACCTGGTATCATTACTATTTGATAGTGATTCATAAACACTTGCTCGTGATATAGTCGGAATTGTACAATCTGCTTTATGCAGAGATTTTTATTGGATATGGAAAGGATTTTGTCGATTTATTCACGCTCACTCACTAACACTAACATGCTGTGGTTATGACGTTACAGATGATGATATTTGACAAGTGGGTACTATATTACTTTGCTGACACTGGTAAATCATGAAATGAGAGAGGTTAGTATACAAGGAAACCTCATTTATCCGGACTGTATTCTAACGATCCCTGTGAAATTTCAACTATACAAGCAGCGAAATACAAATGTATATGGATGCGTAGATGAGATGAATTCAATTTGAGTTATGTCATTGCGTGTCAGCTGCAGAGCCAAGGACCTTCCCATTGGTGAGGTTGGATACAGGAGGAAGCACAACATGATGCCTGTTGTTCTGCGTAGTATATACATATATATTGTAAGTTTATTTCTGATGATTGTAACACTATGTCTTCATATATAGAGTGATCTCCCTTAGTTGTGGTTACACGCTCCATCTCAGCGTTTGCTACTTTCGTTATCCTCTCGGTTAAGAGAGCTCCACTGTGTGGAGTTTGTTTACAGTTTGTGATTCACTTCCGGGACTGACTACCTCATTCGATAAACTTATGTTGTGAGGTTTCCTAGAAGGACGACGGCACCTATATAAGACAAGGACGAGGGCAGTTCGAGGCATTCTACGACCTGACATGCGCCTTGACTACTGGTCAAGTGCTAGCGGGTTAACTATTGAAAGCCCCACCTTTAGCACTGCATCCTACACGGCCCCACCTTTTAGCACTGCATCCTACACGGCCCCACCTTTTAGCACTGCATCCTACACGGCCCCACCTTTTAGCACTGCATCCTACACGGCCCCACCTTTTAGCACTGCATCCTACACGGCCCCACCTTTTAGCACTGCATCCTACACGGCCCCACCTTTTAGCACTGCATCCTACACGGCCCCACCTTTTAGCACTGCATCCTACACGGCCCCACCTTTTAGCACTGCATCCTACACGGCCCCACCTTTTAGCACTGCATCCTACACGGCCCCACCTTTTAGCACTGCATCCTACACGGCCCCACCTTTTAGCACTGCATCCTACACGGCCCCACCTTTTAGCACTGCATCCTACACGGCCCCACCTTTTAGCACTGCATCCTACACGGCCCCACCTTTTAGCACTGCATCCTACACGGCCCCACCTTTTAGCACTGCATCCTACACGGCCCCACCTTTTAGCACTGCATCCTACACGGCCCCACCTTTTAGCACTGCATCCTACACGGCCCCACCTTTTAGCACTGCATCCTACACGGCCCCACCTTTTAGCACTGCATCCTACACGGCCCCACCTTTTAGCACTGCATCCTACACGGCCCCACCTTTTAGCACTGCATCCTACACGGCCCCACCTTTTAGCACTGCATCCTACACGGCCCCACCTTTTAGCACTGCATCCTACACGGCCCCACCTTTTAGCACTGCATCCTACACGGCCCCACCTTTTAGCACTGCATCCTACACGGCCCCACCTTTTAGCACTGCATCCTACACGGCCCCACCTTTTAGCACTGCATCCTACACGGCCCCACCTTTTAGCACTGCATCCTACACGGCCCCACCTTTTAGCACTGCATCCTACACGGCCCCACCTTTTAGCACTGCATCCTACACGGCCCCACCTTTTAGCACTGCATCCTACACGGCCCCACCTTTTAGCACTGCATCCTACACGGCCCCACCTTTTAGCACTGCATCCTACACGGCCCCACCTTTTAGCACTGCATCCTACACGGCCCCACCTTTTAGCACTGCATCCTACACGGCCCCACCTTTTAGCACTGCATCCTACACGGCCCCACCTTTTAGCACTGCATCCTACACGGCCCCACCTTTTAGCACTGCATCCTACACGGCCCCACCTTTTAGCACTGCATCCTACACGGCCCCACCTTTTAGCACTGCATCCTACACGGTTTCCTGGAATCAGGAACGGAGCACATACCTCACTCAAGACATTCAACTGTGACATATTCTGGATTTTTGTGAGTGACCTGACCATTATAAGCGAGTCTATTATTTATTGCTGTTGTAACATAGTAACATTTTATGATTGTTGATATATAAGTGTGTTTTTTAATACAATGTCTGGATTGGTCATTGATCTTGTGTGGTTATGTACTGACTTCACAATGTTGTTCCGAGTTGTTCTGAGTTTGATGTAACGCCGATTGAATATCTTCAGTTATATCACGGCTTGTCAGCTTAAGATGGTAGCTGGGAAAGCCCCAAGTTACACAGGATATCTGCTACTAAACCAGTGTTTGTGACGGGTGCCTCCGGTGGGGCAGGATACGCTCACCTTTTCGCGAACACCTGATATCATCACTATTTGATAGTGATTCATAAACACATGCTCATGATATAGTCGGAATTGTACAATGGACTATTTATGCAGAGATTTCTCTTGGATATGAAGAGGGTTTTGTCGCTTTATTTGTGAAACGCATAAGCACGGGATACTGATGACAAAATATGAAACATAATCAGGGCAAATCTGGGATTATATATATATATATATATATATATATATATATATATATATATATATATATATATATATATATATATATATATATATATATATATATATATTTATAATAATAGAGACGATAGCTGGAAGGGATGTTGACACAATGAACACAAATACTTTCACATTAGATCTACGTTTATCATTCGTTTATGAGGTATCGAGTCGACTGGATTATACACATATTAGATTAAACCTTTCTACAGAAATGATGACAAAAGGTTCAAACCACTGGAATCCTTGCACACAAAGAAACAAATATACAAAGGGAGATTATTAGATATTTGGCGTAGTCCATGCGTAGGTTGTATTTATGTTATGCTTTATTTTAAATAAATATGATCAGCAAAAACACTTCACAGATATGTTAATGAAATCATAGCCTTAAATACTTGTAAATATATCTACAAATATTCATGTAGGCTAAAAATGTAATTATGTGTTTGTGGGAAATAGTGAGTGAGTTGGGTTTAACGCCGCTTTTAACAGTATTCCAGTTATATCATGGCGTGTCAGCTTAATGTGGGAGGAAAGCCCGAAGTGATGCAGGCCTCAGACGTTTACCAGTTCGGTGACACCCATGAGCACGTGTATGGTGCTGACAAACCTAGAAACATAATCGGGGCGAATCGGAACCCACAATCATAGGTTTCTGGCCCAGTCGTCTAAGGCGCTGCGATTCGCTGTGCAGAGCTGCGTCCCTTGGACACGCCAGAAACCTATGATTGCGGGTTCGAATCCCGGTTCGCCCCGATAATGTTTAGCTAATCATCGTGTATGTTTGTTCATGGTTTATTAATCATTGTTAGTGTCAATTGGGATCTTGATCCTTTAGATTGCCTTTAGCTACAATTATCTGATGATGATATAACTGTGAACTTTTAGCACGTTTTCTATTATTACTTTACCCTGGTCTCAGGAGCACAGCTCCGTGACAGTTGTTTCGCATAGCAACCACATGTTTATTGAACAGAAACACAAATATCCCGTTCTGATTATCAACATTTGAACATCCGAGCTGAAAATATAATTGATAAACAATTTATAAAATTGAAGGGTATATCATCTTCCCGAGGCAAGTGCGTTAACTGACTTTACAAGTCCAGTTTCCACCCTTGCCGAACTAGGCTGGAATTCCTGAGCTCGATCGTAGCACCACCAGTGGCGATTACAAGTTATGTCCATTCTATGCCTCTCCCATATGTACCAATCAGACTCTACCTCTCGTATTACATGCATTTGTTTCAAACAAAATGGTGGCGCCGAGTCAAGACGATCTTATCCATAATCAAGATCTATTTTGTGATAAAACGGTTCTTACTTCGCAAAGTACATCAAATCACGTGAGCACCTGGATTAAAAACATGAAAAGATTTGGAAAATATCTGTTGACAACGAGTTGGCGATGCACATGCATGCTTTACAAATCCTGCAATCGACCGAACTCTGCATGACAGTTTACGAACCGGATTTCGATTTCGGTGCGCGATTGTGATTGGACTATGCATAGACTCGTTAGCCAACATGTAACTCCATAATCCCAGCCTAGTTCGGCAAGGGTGGAAACTGGACTTTTGTAGTCAGTTAACTCTCTTGCCTCGGGAAGATGAGGGAATATCGACGCAATACATAACCAGAAACAATCTGCGCATTCAGCAGTTATAAAGAACTTCTCTGAGCGAAGAGGAAACGTTAAAGAAGGATGAACAAGAGAGCTAAACAACATCACATCCTTCAGAAAGAAAATTTGAGCGCGAAGCATCAATGGCTATTTACTGAAATAGTTTGACAGTACCCTGTCGACTGCGTGCAATGTTCCTTCTGACCAGACACCCAGCATCCCCTCCGCCCACGAGTTGCTGACCACATACACGTCATCTGAAGGTGATGGCTTCATCATTATTTCAGCAACCTCATCTTCTTTGAAGCCGGGCTTGAAGCAGTGCCAGCCAGCCTCGAACGGGTAACGGTCCCACAACATCATCCCTCCACCAACAGCCTCGGGAATATCGGATTGATTGACATTGTAGATGAGGCTAAGATACGTCTCAAGTCTGTTCTTGACGACGTCGGTAACAGCATTAGCTCCAGGAAGACTGCCAGGGATGGGTGTCCCGAACTGACTCAGCTCCCGCCAGTAGCGAGTGGTTTCTCCGTTGTGGTAGGAGGCAAGGATGATAGATACATTGTTAGTTCCTGTAAACCAGTCTCGCGTGTGTCTACACGGTAGATCACTGTCGGTGTTGGTAGTGTCAGGGTTACCGGTCTTCCACCATTTGTAGGGGTATGCCAAGAATATCTTTCCAGCTGGGTCGTCAAACACCGAGTTGATACTATTCATAATGGCAGGATTGTTCCTAAACGTGGGAAAGTCAACGTGCACCAAGCAATTTCTTGGAACTGCCAGAATTACTTTCCTGGCGCAGATTGTCACCTCATTGTCATCCGTCTGAAAATAATATAATCACTTATTAACCAATATCAATTACCAGTAGTTAAAGACTAAAATATACTTATGTCATGAACATTGATGCGATACCTGTCTACATGCAGCTTAGGCAAACACTCCATGGGGGTCGCCTCAGCTAAACCTAATCAAAATTATGGTGCTTGTTTCCAGAGCCAATTAGGGCAAGACGTCTTACCCTTTTGTCGAACACCTGGTGTCATCACTGATTGTTAGTGATCCATTCATATAGCTTTCACCGCTATTTTGCCTTCTACGCTCAATGGAATCTGTTTCGGCGGATAATCGAGACTGGTTATTCTCTGACATTGACGTTTTTTTGTTTTTTTGAGGCAAACAGACAACGTCTGTCACAGCAATCCAATTTGTACAGACGTCCAGTTATCGCCATTATTTGTGTGACAACGTGAAATGCACTGATAAAAACATAGACGTATATTTTCTGTCGATGTTATATAGTTATCCAAGTTTCACTCCCTTTCTATAATAAATAATCCATGAATGAGTTTTTCTTGTACCGTGAGAGGTGTCGTGACACCATCGACTGTCTGGGTCCTTCTGAACCTGAGGTTGTATCCCCCAGTCTGACTCTTCTCAATCCTTATCAGCTGATGGTTCAAGTGCAGATGGTGGCTAGAAGAAATATATAGTTTAGTTTAGTTATTGAACAGACCCGTGAAGATCCGGGGTAGAATAGATCTTCAGCAACCCATGCTTGCCGTAAAAGGCAACCATTTCTGGTATCCCCCGCCGTGATATTGCTGGATTATTGCTAAAAGCGGCGTAAAACCAAACTCACTCACTCACCCAATTGCGTGGATCGATGCTCATGATATTAATCACTGGATTGTCTGGTCCAGACTCGATTATTTCCAGACCGCCGTCATATAGCTGGAATATTGCTGAGTGCGGCGTTAAACAACCAACCAACCAACCAAGTTACTGAACACTATCGAGCCCAATGGGGATACAACTCTGCTTCATTTTGAATGAAATAAATCAAAGGCCATATAGAGGGGTGACTTTACTCTCCATGTATGAATATATAGTATTAGATCACTCCTGGTAGGTGATTTCAATATGTTGGAAAGAAAGAAGGCCGGTACGTTTTTAATACGTTTGAATACGCAATACGTTTTGAACAAGCTGTATTAATGCATCTGGTAAATCTTTAATTTTCAAACGTGTGTACACCTTATAAATAGTTTTCACCTTTTACTTCTTTGTCGGAATATATCCATGAGTGTAGTGGGCAGTCTCCCCATTCCCCCCTCAATTGCGTGGAGAGCTGACGAAGGCGAGTTGGCCATTTTAACCCCGCGCAACGCTCCCTGTTGTTGGTTGACCAAGCCCATTGCCATACAAGCTTGTAAATAACCGTATGCCTCCATGGTAGCGTAATGACTATAAAAGTTCAACTGACTGAAACAAATCAAAATATGTGATTTGTATTTTGTTTCTGGATAGTAAAAAAAAGGCTCATGGTGATCGATTTAAGACTGAACTAAATATGTGTTCCCCGCCATGGTATTGCTGGAACATTGCTAAAAGCAACATAAAACCAATGCTGAGGCGACTAACGGGATCGTGTGGTCAGACTGGTTTTGGTTGATGCATGTCATCGTATTATCGTAGATCGATGCTCATGATGTCAATCACTGGATTGTCAGATCCAGATTTGATTATATACAAACCACCGTCATGTAGCTGGAATAGTGCTGATTGCGGTTTTAAACAACAAACAAACAAAACAAAACAAACGAAAATGTGTACGTCAGCCATGGCGCCTCATATCGACATCCATGAGCTGACTAATCCTTTAAAGAAATATCACGTTATAGTCCTGGGTGGTTTAGATAGCTGCGTGTTAACCTTTATTTTTGCCAACGTGAACAACACAGCAAGCTCTCAGTTTTCTAAACTTAATCTTTGCTTAACTATTAATATCATTTTTGTTATCTTTACTGCGTGTCAGTTTCTATCTTTGGCATTTTACAATTTCATTTGATGGTACAGTCATAAAAATGTCAATTTTCTATACCCCGGAGTTCAGCTTGACTATCCACATTACTGATAAAATGCATAACCATAATCAAAAGACATCTCTGCTAAATGAAACGTCCACTGCACGATTCCGACTATATCACAAGCATGTGTTTAAATTGCACTATTTAAGGCATTAGCAACACCTTTTAAAGGTGTTATGTGGACATGTGGAGGACGTTTCTAAATGTGAGGCATCAGTGACAAAATGATGTCCGATGCAATTCCCTTGTTTGACTAGTACCACGTGGCTCGATTTTCGGGTGAACAATTAACTTTCCTTTGCATGTGTTTTTAACGTGTGCAAGGGTGGGGCAGGATACGCTCACTTTTTCGCGAACACCTGCTACCATCACCCTTTAATGGTACAATAAACTACGGTTATAACAAACACGCTTATAACGAACTGGCGGATATAACAAACTAACTTTTAAGGCCCGATAATTTGCTGTATTTTTGCTGTATATATGCTTATAACGAACTACGGTTATAACGAACTAAAAATAGTAGTCCCTTTGAGTTCGTTATAACCGTAGTTTACTGTAATTCATTAACGCATGCTCATGATACTATCGGAATCGTACAATCGACTCTGCTTTCAGCAGAGATATCTTATGGCTATGGTAAGGATATTGTCACTTTTATTTTCTTAAGAAGCAACCACATCGCTAGCTATCAGTTTTAAGACAATCACTTGTCTAACTCTGTTGTAAGCATCTGACGAGTGACACACAGTGAACGCTGGTTAACTCGAAGTCATGGGAACCAATGAATACTATGTCGAGTAATCCGTAGCAGTGACGATATTTATCAATCGTAAAACGTTGAGCATATTCTGCCCCGCTGTTGCACACACACGATGCTTCTAAATATAAACGACAAAAATGTCCATTATCATAACAAATAAGAAATTATAAACACACCTCATCTTGTAGACTGGGACGCCATCGTTTGTCGTCAACGAGTACATCTCCTCTGGAAACTTGGTGCTGGTTATGTTCGTATTATTGGTGAAGATGTCCCTTCGGGCATAACAACAATATACAAACTACGGTTATAACGAACACGATTGTAACGAACTGACGGATATAACGAACTAACTTTTTAGTCCCGACTATTTGCTGTATTTATGCTGTATATATGCTTATAACGAACTCCGGTTATAACGAACTAAAAATAGTCCCTTTGAGTTCGTTATAACCGTAGTTTACTGTATGAATACCAGATCTTGTCTATTCTAATCGGGGAAGTAGAGGAGGCGAGTAAGACCATAACAATTATTTGTCTTTTTACTTACTTCATTTCGTTGTCACTGCTACATTTGAAATGAAGCCTATATGTTATTAACATGCTCCGACGTTCATACAGTTAGGCCCTCACTCTATGAAGGTTCTCCAATGAACTCACACAAAGTGACAGTCAATTCTTAATTTTACTTTGTATGTGCGAATCGTTTTGTGTAACTGGGGCACATCTGAGGTTGTTGCGGTACATTACAGAAAAATAACAGAACCGAACGTCTTGATTTCGTTAATCTTACCTAATGAGGGCCTCTGGAGATTTCCTTTCATTGGCCTTCAGATTGAAAGGTGTTTTGCTGCCTCGCAGATCATCTTTGCCCAGGTGAGTCCCTCGCAGATACCAGAGTTTTTGGTTCCCATCACTTTTCTGAAATGGAACGATTTTTAAGCCAATCTCGATTGCAGTATTTATAAGAATACTATGATCCGTTCGAAACCGCATCCCCCCAAATTCAAGATACGTCCCCGGGGCTTCAGGCAGCTCGGCAGTGAAAAGTCTCCCCCCGACTCTGTCCGAGTACTCGAACACGGAGATGGAGAGACCTCTGTCCCTCAGTCTCCACCCGGTGTAGGCGCCCCCGATACCGCCGCCGATCACAGCGATGTCCAGACAGTCGTTGGGCTCTATAAAAAAGATAATTATTCCATCAATCAGTTTCTTGATGTTCCTGGTTCAATGGTCCTAATTGCAATGAAAATGTATATAATTTAATATATTTAAGACATAACATAACATAACAAATTGTTTGTTTGTTGTTTATCACCGCACTCAGCAATATTCCAGCTAGATAACGGCGGTCGGTCAATCCAGTGATTGACACCATGAGCATCGATCTATGCAATTAGGAAACGATAACATGCATCAACCAGCGAGGCTGACTACCCAATCCCGTTAATCGCCTCTTATGGCACACATGGGTTGCTGAAGATCTATTCTAACCCGGATCTTCACAAGTTCATAGCATAGCATAGCATAGCATAGCATAGCATAGCATAGCATAGCATAGCATAGCATAATAATGCAATGGAATACAATACAATACAAAACAATACAGTTATGCCTTATTTTCCAAAGCAGTTATAAGCATACCTGGTATTGTGTGATCAAGACATGTAGCAAAGTTCAATAAACATTAGGAAAATGACGCCATGACAATAGCATGACACCTGATGATAAACACATGCTCATGACATAGTCGGAATCGTATACTCGACTCTGCTTCAGCAGAGGTGTCTTGAGGCTTTGAAAAAGATTTTGTCGCTTTTGTTCAGCGAAATGTGCACCCAGACATGTCTATATAACTAGTACACTTCTATGTGTAGCTAGAATACTGTCATCATGTAAAACTCAGGTGTACACGATTGTTGAAAGATTTCGAACTTAAGTATCAAGGAAACACATTGACCCGTTTGCGCAGAACCTACCGTTGTCTGCCTTTGTTGTGTTTGTTGTTGCCATGGTGTCTGTAAATAAAGAGAAAACTATAACATACGACATCAATTTCAAGATGGGTGATTTTTGTAGGTTCGTTGTAGTTTTCACAAATAATCATGTTTCAGAATTTATGTTCAGTAGCTCATGGACAAACGTCGCTACTTTTGTAGTAGCATCAGGTCAAATGGGAGTATCCTGCTCCATGGCACTGTTTACTGACCAGATTCAGGCAAATTGGCAGTCCTTGAAAGTGTAACTCACGTAATTCGAAACCCACTTTTTTGTCTGAACACTAACATTTACAATAGATAACAATACACCGGGTAATGGTTATTCAGTCAGGGTTGAAATTGGGTTCTCTGGAAGGAGGAGTGCCAAAATTAGTTTTTCTTTCAGATCATCCAGTATCTCCATTGACATTTATTTACATTCGAGGACAAATGAATGTGTCACAGTGTTTTTCGGAACACATTATTCACGTCACAGGAATTGGTCAGAGATACTTACACAGACTGACAGAGGAGAGTGACGCCTTCCTGATCCACCTATTGCATCAACAGCGAGTGGGCACACTGGCAGAGTTCGACCCTTCCTGATCCACCTATTGCATCAACAGCTAGAGTGGGCACACTGGCAGAGAGCAACCCTTCCTGATCCACCTATTGCATCAACAGCGAGCGTGGGCACACTGGCAGAGAGCAACCCTTCCTGATCCACCTATTGCATCAACAGCGAGCGTGGGCACACTGACAGAGTTCGACCCTTCCTGATCCACCTATTGCATCAACAGCGAGCGTGGGCACACTGGCAGAGAGCAACCAATCCTAATCCACTTATTGCAATTACAGCGAGCGTGAGCATATATATTTAACAAGGACGGTACATATGTCGCGTCCAGCAGAGTGTGCCCACTTTATGATCCGTATTGTCTTTTTCAACAAACACCAACATCACAAGCGCAATAACCCTGTTCCAAATAAACATCAATGACTGCGCCACCGTCTCTACCAAGAGATATAATGAGGTTTTCGTGCTTTAATTAACATGTTATAAACACAAGCGCTATTGTGTTGTTCACGAGAGACTAGGCACAACAGTATCAATAATAATGCAGAAGCAATAATGTGAAAAGAATCTCCTTATTGCATTTGTGTGGGATATCAAGCGATTGGAGCCATTCGGCTCATCCAAGTCCCTAACCACAGCCAGGAGTGAGTGAGTAAGTTTGGATTAACGCCACTTTTAACAGTATTCCCGTTATATCACGGCGTGTCAGCTGATTGTTGGAGAAAAGCCCGAAGTGATGCAGGTCTCAGACGTTTACCACTTCGGTGAAACCCACGAGCACGGGTATGGTGCTGACAAACCTAGAAACATAATCGGGGCGAACCGGGATTCGAACCCACAATCATAGGTTTCTGGCGTGCCCAAGGGACGCAACGCCGCACAGCGAATCACAGCGCCTTAGACGACTGGGCCACCTGTGCCCCCTGCTGCAAGGAATCTAGACTGGAAGTCTCGCGCACGAGACTGTCACGTGACACAAAACAACCTTCAGCAACCTTACGATGTAAAATATGTTTCTGTTTCTGTTTGTCTCCTAAAATATGCATACCTTAGTTGATAGCTAACTTCAGTTAACCTGGAGGGTAGGAGCTCCACGTCCATGGAGTGAGTGGGTAACGTTTTACGCTGCATTTAACAGTAATCGAACCCTGGATTTCGACTTGACAAGCGAGCGGAGCTAGGCTTTTCAATCGCAACCTATATGTTTTGTTTCTTTGTTTAAGTGGCATTCAGAAGTTGGTCTGATAAACAAGGGAGATAGTTCCTGAATGTGACAACTTCTTTATTACAGTGAATGTAACGTTTCGTGTTCTATAGTAACACCGTTATGAAGCAAGTGGTAAAGTAGGGAGGTCATATGCTTGATGATAATTGACAAGGCTGAATGGTGGTAGATTGAGTGAGTGAGTGGTTATTGTTTTAGGCCGCTTCTGGCAATATTCCAACAATATGACACATGTGGGGTATCGAACCCGGGACTCCGGCATGACAAGCGAACGCTTTAACCAATAGGCTACAGCAGCGCCCCTGGTGATAGACTGGTGTTTATACAACAGATAAGGTTGAAGTATGATGCCTGATGATGTACATATTAGAACATATAGAAAAACAGTAGGTATGATGGTAAAAGCAATACAGTGATTGGTATTCACAAGATGATTGGAAGCAAGTAAGATGAGAAGGATTAAGATATATTAACAACTCACAATGGAAATGAGATGCTTAGCGATGAGCTCATGGTAGGCTGTTGGGATGAAATAATCTGCTATCTCTAACCATATCCAAGCCAATCCAGACCACTGCATCCATTGGAACACCATCAACGTACTCACGAACAGTCATACCAACTACAAGATCAGGAAACTGCGAGAAGCCATCCACACTAAAATACTCCAACCAGCCACCAACAGAGCCCAAGTTTATCACATCCCAACAGCCTACAATGAGGTCTTTCCTTTTGATTTGATTCAAACAAACATTACCTTATATCCAGCAATCTGTCCATCCACCCATCGTCCATCAGTGCCTTTCTTCTCCCTGAAGGTCATTGAACGTGCATTAGAGATGCTGCCTTCAGTGAACACACTTTACACTTCAGCTCCACCTATTTGCAAAATAATACTAAGCCATTGTTTTTCGTGATTTATATTGAAAGTCCAGATTAATTACAGTGACATGAATGTAAACAAGCTTATTCAGAGAAAAATGTTTTGACAAAATATGGCATTCGTAATTTATAGATTTACGGTTGGGCAGAACGATTATAGGCTTACAACTTATTTGAATCATATACTCCTTTGTCAATTCATATCAAATACAAAAGGGACTATCAGGGGCAATGTCGATACACTTTTGAGAGGTAAAAAACATGATCCATAAGGTGGAAGGTGAGACCGGAAGTGAGCTGGGGCTTACTCCACAATGAATGTGTATTCCTCAAACCGGAAGTATTCACACCGGAAGCGACGATTACTGGAGATACGTGAAGTTAGCTAGAGGCATGGTATTTTGTCCTGAGGTTGACGTTTTTGAAACCAGGAATGACGCCATCAAACCGGACGTACACTGAACTTTCACTCTAAGGTAGCAATTGGCATGACAGTTTTCTGCGTTCACGCATTGAATTAAGTGTTTTCTGAGACTGAAAGTGACATTGCATCTCAGCAGCTGAATGTATGTGTTTACATGGTGATTATCATTACTGATTACTCAGCTATATCGTGTACACGCTTCACAGACAGTAAACGTCTTAAAGTGTTTAAGAAAAAATGTTATTACCGTATATCATGTATCATTGACAAAAGTTTCTTGTCAGGGGATAAACAGCGTAGAGGTATTAATAATATATATCGTCTATTTCATAACCACATGAATTACTCATTAAAACGCAGTTGTGGGATTAAAAAGAGCAATTCATCATTACGAGCATATTTAGTGTCAAAATATGTCTACAATTGCACCTCGTATTTTCTCCTTGGAATGAAAACAATTCTGCGCCGTGCAATGAGTAAACAGTGCAGCGATTCTTGCAAACACAGCATGTTTTCAATCATGAAATACACAGAACCTTCTGTCACAAAGCCCAGTAATTGCTTGGAGAATATTGAATAAATACCGTTGCATATAACTGCTACCGCTATTGTTGAGTATGGGAAGGAGAACGATGGAAGATGGTTGGTGGAAGGTGGATGGTTGATGGTGGATGGATGTTGGAGTATGAAAGATGGATGGTGAATTGTGGACGATGGAAGATGGATGGTGGATTGTGGACGATGGATGGTGGATTGTGAGTTGTGGATTGTGAATTGTAGATGGTATATGGAAGGTGAATGGGATATGGTTGATGGTTGATGTTGGATGATCGATGGGTGTTGAAGTATGAAAGATGGATGGTGGATTGTGGAAGATGGATTGTGAGTTGTAGATGGTGAATTGTAGACGGTGTATGGAAGGTGGATGGTTGATGGTAGATGGACGATGGGTGGTGGACTAAGAACGATCGATGGTAGATTGTGGACGATGGAAGATGGATGGTAGATTGGAGTTGTGGATGTTGAATTGTAGATGGTGTATGGATAGTTGATGGTGGAAGGTGGATGGACGATGGGTGGTGGTCTTTGAAAGATGGATGGTAGATTTTGGACGATGGAAGATGGATGGTAGATTGGAGTTGTGGATGGTTGATGGTTGATGGTGGATGGACGATGGGTGATGGACTAAGAACGATGGATGGTAGATTGTGGACGATGGAAGATGGATGGTAGATTGGAGTTGTGGATGTTGAATTGTAGATGGTGTATTGATAGTTGATGGTGGAAGGTGGATGGACGATGGGTGGTGGACTTTGAAAGATGGATGGTAGATTGTGGACGATGAAAGATGGATGGTAGATTGTGAGTTGTGGATGGTGAATTGTAGATGGTGTATGGATGGTGGATGGTTGATGGTGGATGGACGATGGGTGGTGGACTTTGAAAGATTGATGGTAGATTGTGGACGATGGAAGATGGATGGTAGATTGTGAGTTGTGGATGGTGAATTGAAGATGGTGTATGGATGGTTGATGGTGGAAGGTGGATGGTGGGTTGATGTTGGATGGACGATGGGTGGTCGACTATGAAAGATGGATGGTAGATTGTGGACGATGAAAGATGGCTGGTGGATTGTTGACTATGAAAGATGGATGGTGGATTGTTGACGATGAGTGGTGGACTATGAAAGATGGATGGTGGACGATGAAGATGGATGGTGGATGGCTGATGCAAAATGGACGATGGGTGGTGGACGATGGGTGCTTGGTGATGAATGGAAGATGGATGGTGGGTTGTGGGTGGTTTACGATGGATTCTCGGTAGTGGAAGGCTGACGATGGATGCATGGATGGTAGGTGGTGGGTGGTGCGTGGTGGATGGTAGGCGGTTGGTGGATAATGTATGTGCCTCGTGGAAGGTTGAAGA